ACAAGATCATCCTTTTAATAAACAGGTTCAGGCACGCTGTGGCACACAAGTTGAATCTTCTGGCCAAGAGGCAGGGACTTTACCATTGTACCTCAAGACTCCAGCTGGACATTTTTAAACAACATGTTTAGATATGTTACAACATCTCTGGAACAGAGGTAGGGACACTACCACTATGCCACATGAGCTTGTCTCACTCCCATTATACTAGGTGGGTGGTTAATAAGCCTATTGACCTGAATGACAGTACTACCTGTGCTATAACACAGCCCACATTCACAGTCGGGCATCAGCTTACATAAACAAATATGAGAAGGAATGGAGGAACCTCACTCAGAGGTTACCTTGCATGCATCACATGCAGCCTGTAAGGTTGCTTTCCAACCTCCCCATCCTTCTGTGCTGCCTGCCCAGTTCCCTCTACTCCCTAAAACTCTGGGACTTATCTTACTTGGATGACCATGATTTTCTGGATGTTTCTCCCGGCAGTTCCGCAAACAGCCGCAACTGAGCTCAGATGCTGTTGGGGTTGAAGGAGCTGCCAGCCAATCAGATTGCCTGCAGCAGCTCCTGAGGGTGCGACTTGGTTCCAAGTAAGGAGGAGTGTTGAAGTCCCAGTGTTAGCCAACTTAACCTGCCTGCAATGCAGGATGGTTGTGGGACTGGTTTACAAGGAGTGGGTTGGTTTCCAGCTGACTTTCCTTCTGTGAGATGTACAAGCAGTTTGCCTCCAGGACCGCAAAAAATTCCACTGTGATAAACCTGACAAGGCCACGGGGAATCACTAATCAATCTGCTTGTGGAGCTTTTCGAGTATGAGCTCCCACCCCTCACTTTTGATGGTCCGCATTGCCCATAAGGGGCTTAGCATGTCAACTTCTCATTGGCTACATGTGTGATTATTAGTGGTGGTTCATAGTTAAAAACAAGAATAAAAAGTTGCAGCGATTTGCTGGTGGGACAGTCTTTCGGTTGCGTATGATTGCACTTCCAGATATAGAAGGAAAAAAAATGAAGCAAACCCATGGTGGTGCCATGGCTTAGATGTTTAAAGCCGCTGCCAAATAAGCAGGAGATCCTGGGTTCAGATTCCGGTGGTGCCTGTTCTTCACTTTATGAGGGCTCTTGTGGCATAGCAGTCGTGTGCCAATCTTTTAAGCTTCGGTTCAAGTCCCACGAGAGGACGTAGATTTGAGGAGAGATTTAAAAAGGACCTGATGGGCAATGACTTCACATGGAGGGTGGTTCATACATAGAACGAGCTGCCAGAGGAAGTGGTAGAGGCAAATACAATTACAATGTTTAAAAGACAATTGGACAGGTACATGGATAGAAAAGGTTCGGAGGGATATGGGCCAAATGCAGGAAAATGGGACCAATTCAGTTTATGAAAGTTGGAGTTGGGCTGAAGGGTCTGTTTCCGTGCTGTTTGACTCTATAACCTGCTCCAGATGTGAGTGATAATGTCTCTGAAACAGGTTGATTAGAAAATATCTACAAAGCTGTACCATAGACTGTGGATGGGGTCATAACTGTCGACTGTCTGCCCCTCATCCTCGGTTACGTTTGTGTCTGCTGCCATTTTAAACAGGGAAATATGTTCTATGTAAGGAACTTTGGTGATGGCTTTCCATGGATTCCGGAAGTTATTCTTCAAAAAAAACTTCTAATTGGCTGCACGGGTGATTACTGGTGGTGGTTGATAGTAAAAAATAAAAAAAATTCGTTCTGGTGATGTTGTGATGGGGAAGTTGTTTGGTTGTGGTAACATACATGGTTAAAAGCACGAAGAATACTGCAAAAGTATACAACGGCCACCTCTGTCAGCAGGAATCCTCACACAGGTGACTGTTTCGACAGACATCTCACCATTGACATCCTTCACACCAACTTGAGGATGGGAAACTCTGTCCACTAAAAGCTTGAGGACTGTGGGGACTCAGACTCAGAGATGGAAACTGAGGCGGCAGAAGGTCAGTCAGAGGTTGTCACCGAGGACGAGCACCCTGCAGTGGCTCATTGATTGTCTTCACAGAAGAGATGTTCACCTATTTATTATATGCCCCCAACCAGAACCTGAAAGCAACAGGAATGGGGAGTGAGAGGGATCCATCAGACTCAGAGGGGAGGGTGAATCATGCTAAACACCCCCACAGTTTGACGCATGAATGGGACATAGGAAACAAAAAGGATTCAAGTGTATTTCCTCATCTTTGCTAAATTTGATGATCTTGGGCAGAGTGATTGCTGGAGTTGGCCTCAAATCTGAGACCAGTTTTGAATTTTTAGATCTGTTTGACGTCTGTCGCATTTAGTATGGTGACATAAAGCATGATGAAGGATACTCTCAATGTGAGGACAGGACTTCAACTCCACAGGCTGTGGAGAAAAAGCAAGTGATCAACACTGGGTAATGGTACTCCTTTGAAGATCAGGTACAGACATAATGAGCTAATTGGCCTCCTTCTGCACCAAAAGAAAATACAAGGAGTCTCTAGTTGAGAACAGGTTCTGTTCTTGAGTCCATTCTCAAATTGATTTGTACGCGAGTCAGAACACAATGCAGGATAATATTAAATAGCCATTTGTAAAAATAGGAAACAACACCACACAACAATACAATACATCACAGCAACAGGACCTACGACCCACCCGTTCCTACATTGGATCTTCAAAATTACATCCCAATATGAGATCACATTCTGAAATATGAGCCTTTGTAAGTTGGATGTTCGTGAATCAAGGGCCCCCTGCACATTGCAAACAATTATTGATAACTGTAGGTCTCAGGCTTATATTATCAGCTACCTTATAACATTGCAAGGTACATTCCAGTTAATATATATTAAATGTGTTATGTAAGCAGCAAAACATATCTTTACTGAATAAATTCAATTATTATAATAGTTAAATATTAAGCCTTTTGCATATAACGAACATTGTTGTCTTGCTTTGCTACAAGAGGGTGAATTGCAGGGCTGTTTGGTTACGTTGCATTTTATTTATCATTGCATTACAGCTGTAATGGAAAGTCATTGTAATAGTCATTTAAGAAAACATGTTAGATATGCTCTTGTTCAATCAATTCAAAATGTGTTGTAGAACACATAATGGAAGGGAACACTTTGAAACTTTTGCAGTTATGCATATTATAAGAATAGTCCATACTGAATACCCTTATTCTAGCATTGCCTGTCCACAAATCATGTGCACATGAGTCCATATTCAATTAAAAGTCCTCAGAAGGACATTCTAGGATGATATCTGCAGACTCACACTGAACTTGTTGAAATAGCTGTTCTTGCTAATATCAGTATTCAATAGGTTCAGAACATAAGGAACCAAACTCTGAAATCTTTAAGATAAGGTTGAGCTTAATCTGCAAACTAAAAGTGTTATTGTAATGTCTTCAAAATTAAATTAATTATGATGGCAACCTAACAGTGAGTAAGAACTATAATCATACTACTTGCATTCAACATTTTTATGAATCCTTATTAAGATTCAAAGGACCTTAAAATTAAAACTTTTACTTTGCGGCAGTGATATTAATTCATACTCATTCCTAGCATGCTGGTACAGAAACAAATGGGTAGACCGTTTTCTTGCTAACTCAGCAACTTGGAACATGTTTTAGGAGGATGTGGTGGTATAATGGGAGTGTCACTTGATGAGTAATTCAGATTTCCCAACTAATCCTTTAAGGCCATCTTGTGGTCTAGCATCCCTACCCCTGGGCTGGGAGGTCTGGTTCAAGTCCCACCTGCTCCAGAGGTGCATAATCATATGTCTGAACAGATTGATTAGGAAAGTAGGTTAAATGAAAAAAAAACATGTTTTAAACTCTTCCAGAGATAAACATTTGCATAATTTGGACCAGTTTGTGTTAAGTTGCTCAACAATTGATGGAAACTTGGTCACTCCATATACATGCACCAGTGAAAGGAACTAAATCTTCTAGTTTTACACTGTATTGATTAGAGCAGGAGTCAATTATTGAGATAACATGGTGTAGAGCTGGATGAACACAGCAGGCCAAGCAGCATCACAGGAGCAGTAAGGCTGACATTTCGGGCCTAGACCCTTCTTCAGAAAGCAATTATTGTTCCTTTCATTGGACAGCAAAATATCTATAGCCTGTATCACTCAGAAGGTTCTCTAAAGGGCTGGCTCGTTCAATTTGCCTTTTTGAACAACTGCAGAGAAATGCTAATTTAGCATATTCACAAAGGATAGCTCAATTAAAAGTTACCGAAATGGGATATTGAGAGTGTTTTGATTAATCAACAAAAGCAGTGCAACTCATTCATTATATGTTTTAACAATGTGATTCCAGATCTTGGCATGTTATTAATGCTAGCGACAGACCAACAATTTGCAATTATAAACCACATTTAATGTAGTTAAATGTCCTGAGGCATTTCACAGGAGCTTTATCAAAGTAAGCTTAACAGTGAGCTGTGTAAAGAAACAATGAATAGGTGATCAAAAGCTTGACTAAATAGGTAGATATGAAGGAGAGTCTTAAAAGTGGAGAGAAAGTTGGTGATACAGAGATATTCTAGAGTGTTGGGCTCAGGAAACTGAAGGCACGGCTGTCAATGCTAGAGCAATGAAAACCAGGGATGTATAAATATGAGCAATGTAATTACTAAAGTAACAAAATTGCAATTTTCAAAGATATGCATAATATACCGATGTTCAATCTGTGGCTTCTATTTTACATGATATCCTGTCAACAATGCGGTTGCAGAAGTAAAATTTCGAACCATGACTTTCTTCATTGTAAAAGACTATTAATTGAAATAATTAATGATTGAAGGTTCAGCCAGCAATAATTGTAATTCCAAATATCTGCACATAAAAAGATCTTCATGAGTTTCAAATGTGTTGTCCTTACTCTCAGTGCTGACATTATTTCAGCTGCATGTGAAATATGTACTCAGGATTCCAATATGCTCAGTGATGTTACAATCTTACCACCCTAATTGTCTTATCAGGTGCCACAACAATAGAAAAATATGACCTGAGAACAAATACTTGGACCCAAGCCGGAGTGATGAATGGCAGGCGGCTGCAATTTGGCCTGGCTGTCATTGATGATAAACTTTATGTGGTTGGAGGCAGAGATGGCCTGAAGACTTTAAACACTGTGGAATGTTACGACCCTAAAACAAAGACCTGGACTGTTTTGCCTCCTATGTCAACTCACAGACATGGTCTCGGTAAGAAATGTGCGGGTTTCAGTACATGGAAAAGAATGGGACTGTTAAATGTTGACTATTCTGAATGGTAATCACTGAAAACTGTCCTGTTATAATTTTTACCAATGAGAATTATCTTCCGTCTTCCCCCACCCACCCTCCAAAAAGAATCACATTGTTAGTTGAAAATTTACAATCATTTGGTTTGATTTCTCACAGTTTCCAAACTTATTGATAAATGGAACATTTTCATACAAAGCCAGTCTTTTTTCCAACCACTCTCAAATGACGTTCGATATTTTATTTGTAAAATGTTTTGTGTATTAATCCTATGTTTTTCTTCATCACAATGCTGACAGAGCAACTGAGGGACTAGTTATTTCACCACTGACAATGCCAAACTAAGACAGACACTTCCTTTAAGTAACCCTTCCTTTCATTTAAACAAAGCTGACAGTTATTTGTTTCAGACAGAAGAAAAAACTGAGCGAATGTTCTGAGGTAAATATGAGAATCCCTGAGGAGCATTATAATTCCTGTGGCAGTCATGGAATAATTTCAGTTCTCATCAATCTTGATTTACAGAGAACAAGAGACATATAAAATCTAAAGTTTAGCAGCAAACCCCGACATCAGGCATGAATTTCAGGTTTTATTTGACAACAGCCTTGAATAAAAATAAATCCCTGTTTTTGCAATATGAATATATGAGCAGTATAGAATTTGCAATGCAATGAAGGATGTGATGTAGTTGAACGTGTTTAAAGTTTTAGTTTAATGACTTTAGTTCTCTGATTATGTTAGTGGAATTTAATATATTACAAGAGGAAGATGACTGGTATAAAAAGTAGTCATATTTGCTAGATTTGCAATTTCTATTGTAGTCTAGAAACAGTTCAAGTTGAATATTTAATCCATTCATAGAAAATGTAATGTATTTCTGCACAGTATTAAGGAAGACACTAACTAGACTATCATAACTGGACTTACTCGTTAGTAAGTCACCACAGCCAATCAACAATGATCGTATCCAATGGTGGAGCAGGCTCTAAGGGCCGAATGGACTACTATGCTCCTGTTTTTGTGTTTCTATTATTTTCAGTGTATGAGCTTCATTTTCATATCTGATACTTGGAGGATTCTGTACTAATTAGAGAATAATTGTGTAAATACCTTTTTTTTATTATTCATTCCTGAGATGTGGACATTGCTGGCTCGGCCAGCATTCATTGCACATAATGAGTTGCCCTTGAGAAGTTGGTGGCGATCTGTCTTCTTGAACCACTGCAAGCCATCGGGTGGACCCAAATTGTCATTTGGGAGAGAATTCCAAATTTTGTCCTTTCAGCAACACTGAAGGAAGGGTGATACATTTCCAATTCAGGATGGTATGTGGCCTGGAGGGGAATTTGCAGATTGTGGTTCTCCCATATATCTACTGCCTTTGTCCTCTTGGTCATAGTGGGTGTAGGTTTGGAAGTTGCTGTCGAAGGCACTTTAGTGAATTGCTACAGTGAGTGTTGTGGATGGTACACACCACAGCTGAGCATCAGTGGTGAATAGAGGGATTGTTGGTGTATGCGGTGAAAATGAAGTGGGATGCTTTGTTCTGGATGCTGTCAAGTTACTTGAATGTTGTTGGAGTTGCACGGGTCCAAGCAAATGGGGAGTAATCCATCACGTTCCTAACTTCTGCTTTGCAGATGATGAACAGGCTTCGGGGAGTGTGTCTTCAAATGGAATCGAAGAACAAAGCAAGACTCAAAAAAGTTTAGTTCTTTAACTCATTCCAATCTTGTCACTATTTTTACCAAGCACATGTTGAGAGTGAGGAATGGGATGATTCTCGGACTGGTCATGCAAAAATACCATTCTGAAATTCAGAGATAAATTAAAATTTTGCAGAAAATAATTCTGATGGGTATATTGGTTGGAAAAGGTTAGAGTCAGGTTTCACTGAACATTTCTATGAATGAATGTTATTTCTGATCAACCTGGTCAGACATGTTGCACATATTTGGAAGATGTGTAACTCACTGCAGAATTCCCAGGCTTTGAGCTGTTATGGTAGCTAATGCATTTAAATGGCTAATCCAATTCAGTTTCTGGTTAATGAATCCCTAGAATGTTGATAGTATGGGATTCAGTCATGGTAATGCCATTGAATGTCGTGGGGAGATGGGTATAGTCTCTTCTGTTGGTCATTGCTTAACAATTAAGTGGCACAAATGTTATTTGTTATTTGTCAGCTCAAGTGTATATATTGTCCAGGTCTTGCTGCATTTGAACATAGACTGCTTCAGTATCCAAGGAATCGTGAATGGTTCTAAACAATGTAATCATCAGCAAATTTCCGCACCTCTGACCCAACGATGAAGGGAGACTGTTGATAAAGTGACTAAAGAAGGTTAGGCCTAGGACATTGGAACTAATTGGAGAGAGGACCATATTGTACAGTAGTAGTGTCCCTGTCTCTGAACCAAGAGGCCTGTGTTCAAGTCCCATCTAGTTCCAAACTGTGTGTAACATGTCTAACCACATAAAATATTTCTAATCAACATGTGGCCAGCTCATCACTTGTGAGAGGGAGGACGCTGAGCTGTTGATCCAAGCCACCCTGCCTCATTGGGGGACTGGACTTCAGGAAGGTGGGGGCCAACAGTGTGCTACCTCACTTCACATTTCATTTGCTTCTGACTGCCCCACACCCCGTCACGAATCCCCAGTATACCTCCATACGACCTACCTCTCACCGAGGTCACTGTGCCTTCCTGAGTCTCCAGTGAATCTTCTCAAGCAGCAGTAGCCATGGTCCCCTTTGTGAAGAGCTGGCAATGAGATGAGATCCTGTGTCTGCTCCCAGGGTTTTGATCCCAGAGTATGGCTTTCTGGTGGCCTCCCCACTTTCTGAATGGCATTTGATTTGATGGGCCATCCTCAAAACAGACAGTGTGTTTCGCTTTCTGTCTCTCGAGTTGGCTGGTGAGTCTCAGCAGCTTGACAAGGTTCTTCCTCAGCAATAATAACAGATTCAATCAATCCTATTGGTGATTTATGGTTTTCTTCTCACAATTTCTCATCCTTCCTGATGGGGTCTCATAGTGCACAGCGTGAACTCACATGAACTTGACGTCAACATTCAATGCGTCAAGGCTTGAAACTTTCATGGCATCATTTGTTTTAGGGAGGATTTCTCTCCACGAACCCTCATGGGTTTTCTCATGCTATCAGCCTAAACTAACATGTTTAAGTACCTACCACATCCCTTTGGTGCATCTCTCAGCCAATATGTAGGGAGTGCTGCCTGGTTTATTGTTCACCAGCTCCCTGGTTCTGACACTGGGATCATGTAGTGGAATGTCTTGTGGTGGCAAACACAGGAGACAGATGCTTCAGAGGCAAAAGAAAACTCTGATTTTATTAAAAACAAGTAAATTGAAACAGGAAAACTGGAAAGTGAATACCAAACCTGACTGTTACTGACTGAGGCCTGTCTCACATTTAACTTGACCCTAGTTAAGCCTTGCAACCAAGACGTGACACAATGGGTTCAATAGTAACAGTGAGTGGTTGTTACCTAATGGCTGACAGAGAGAGAAAGAGAGATTACTTGCTAATCCGCAGTCCTACCCCACTTCCCTTCCTTAGGGGTGCCCTACGTTGTTTGCTCCCCCCACCCCAAACCCCACCTTCCCCTACCTTAGACTAGCCAAGCTGGGTTAGAGGGTCCCAATGACCTTAGGCTCACCCCTGGAGTGGAACGTGATTTTGACTTGCTCTTGTCCATTGTCTCTTGCCGTAGCCGGGGCTGTGTGGATGGCCATAGGTGCTGATACTGTCAGCCTGGTGGTCTCCGCCGATGTGGTTAGGTATGTTAGACCTGATGGTGAGTACCTTGGGTTTCTTTCCTTTTCTGGTGGTCCTTGTGAGTGGGTTGTTGTCTTAGATGGTGGTGGATGTTGCTGGTGATGCCCCGGACGGTGTCTTATGGCTCTGGATGCCTTTGGTTGCCTCCAGACATGGAGTGAAGCCTTGTGGTGAGTTGATGGTGTTCGGTGGTTGCGAGGGTTGCTCTTGGTGTGGAGGGTTCGCGGGGTCCTTGACTCGGGAGGCGTCTATGGGAACTTTTCTCTCAATCGGTAAGTCTGACCGATCTCGTTTCCCTTCCTCGCGGCTTTGGCTCAAGGACTTCTTTGCGTATGGGGCCTGCTTCTGGTTCGGACTCTCGAACTGCTTTCGCAAACCGCTCACACCGGGCGGGCACAGAGCACACACCTAGTTGCTGGTGTCACAGCGCACAGTGCTGGGATCGGGGCCCCCAGTTATACCCAGCTGTAGGCCCCCTTATCTCCCACCAAATCTGGTATTAGCTGCTGAGCTATTGTTCCTCCTCTCGGGGCAGAATGAGCTTCCTGATCACTGGAAGAGGTGGGAATGGCTTTTCGATTGAGGTGAATAGTTTCGATGGTTTGGAATGTTCAGTATTTCCCTTGGATGGGTATTCGCTCAGGTTTTGAAGAGTAGTGTGAATTTTCTTACATCCAAAGGTGAAACCAGTTTACATGTAGCACAATGGTGTGGAATGTTCAGTAATTCTGCGCCTGAGCACTGGTTGGAAATTGAAAGGCTTTGTGTCTCTGTAGGCTCCAGAAGGTCCGACGTTGTTTGTTTCCTGCAGTCTGGCTTCCATTGTTTAAGCTGGGGCATGAAGGGGGATCTTCCTTTTAGTTTTACAAGCTAACACCTGTTCCACACATCTGCCCCTGGGCTTGCATATTACCCAGTCTGTCCCAACCAGCCTTTTCCTGGTTCAGTTGAAGCCCAGGGTTTCTTGAGTTCAGAATTTGAGTGAATTTAATCCAATGTAACTTACTTACCATAGTTCTCACCATTGCCTAGATATCCAGGAATATCAGCATTCCTGGTGCGACCACCCAAAGCCACAAAGCACCCGCATAAGTGCTAGCATTTTGGAGCTGCCCTGCTGCATGGACTGTGCGCAGTCTGGTGCATGTGATGAC